GTACTCCTAGACAAGACACGAAAGTAAAGGACAACATACAACAATCTCAAAACACATAGATAAAATGACTTCTCAAGCGGCTCCCGAATGCGACGGTCCTGGTTGGGACGGGTCTGATGAAGATCCGGATGGCCCCGTCAATCCTGCCGAATCTAAACTCTATATTATACCCTGCAAGGACACCTCGAAACTAGGAATGAGAATCCTGGAATGCGCGCCTGCATCTGGAGGGCTGACTCTAGTAAGGTACTCACGGTGCTGTCCCATGTTCTCTACCAACACTGCCAAATGTGATCTCAATGACTGAAGTGTAGCTCGAACCCCGACCCTCTCTGCTGCGTGGGCCTCCTCTGCCTGGGTAAATCGATCCATCAACTGTCTGAGCAATATTCGGAAGGTGGCCTCCTCGTCAAATACTCCTCTAACACGTCGGGGCAATGGCCTGCTAAACCCCCCTCCCCCCCGAGTAGACTGTAGCCATATGAAGTACTCATGGGTATACCCAGGTGAGTGCCGGTCAGCTGCTAAAGTATCTCTGCCCGTCTTCATTGCGTGGCGCCAATAGGTCTGAATGTCAACCTCCCTGTGATCCATAGTATCAAACTCCCTAATGAAGTCACGAGAATCAGGAATGTAGGGGACTTCTTGTCGCCTCCCTAACTGACGCATCACTCTAGCAGGGGTATATGGTCTAGTACACCAAAGTCCAATCAGTACCAAGAAGTCTTGCACGCGAGATCCTGCTATGATCACGTCCAAATCAATCCAAAGGTATGACCACAAAATCTTCTCTTCAGTCAAAGATCCTAAGTAATCAATCCAAGCCTGAACTCCGAGTGGTAAGGTAAACTTATCGAACGTCATTCTATGCTTGATGCACTTCACTCGATCTCTCAAACAATAACATCTTTCTCAAACATGGTGGCGGGATGTAAGTGTTCTATCAACCACAGCTGCAGCAACAAGTTTCTTCCCTCAAAGAACCTCTCGCCTTTTCGAATCCTGGTCAAAGCACGGTAGATCTCTGCCAAAATTGTTGGAACCAAGGTGACTTTACTACCGTATTTGTCATGTAAGAGTGCATAAGCTACTGACCCCAGACGCGTGCTGATGTGTCTACCCTCCAAAGGAAATACCAAGAGACCCAGCAATGCAATAGCGAAGACCATAGGACGCCTCTTCTTCCAGGAATCATATGATATGGAGAACTCATCTATGAAGCTCTCATATCCAGTGGGACGAGCAAACCTCTCAAATAAAAAGTCTAAAGGTATCCAAGATTGATCTAGACATCCCATGTGATTTTCTAAATCCATTCCTATGATCTTAAGGAACTTTGTGCTTGAATGAGCCCTTGTGTAAATCAATTCCTTGTCTAGGTATGGCAGGCGAGTCAACCCGGCTATCTCAGCTAAGGTGGGTGTCATCTCTAGATCCCCAAACTTAAATACCATCCCCTAGGGGTCCCAAAATGTCAACATTGCTTCTACAAGGTCGGGCCGGGGGGTAATGTCCATCAATGAAATAAGAGTCCCTAATTTACCCATCAGATCATGCTGCTCAAGTAATGTGAACATGTTCCACCATTTTACTAGCCTTCTAGGGACTTTGACCACCATTGACACTCTCGACTTGGTAAGTGGATCTATACCTGTTGAAAGGAATAAGGCTGAATAAAGTTAGCGACTCAAGACACTATGTGATGTTGACATCTCCTATCGGACACACGCAAGACATGACTGAGGCTATTGTTGCAAAAATGACCTATGTAGCCAAAGGAATCTAAAAATGCAATACTCAATTAGGATGACCTCTATGACATGGAAACACCTCACGAGGGCCTATGTAGCCCCCAACCTCTTTAAGAATCAAGCCTCCAAAATTACTCTGCGGTAATGACCTCATTTTGCAAAAATGGCTGATATGGTCAAGAGTGGCTAGACACGCAAATGCAGCGGGGATGGACCTTGAAGTAACATGACACCTAGTTGTGGACTCAAGATGCTAAGACATGGGTCACTGAGGTACCTTTGCAAAAATGGCCCCATTTTGCAGGAACGACTGATGTGGCCAAAGTGGCTAGACATGCAAGATTTGGCTACGACCCCTGAAGCCAAGAACCTAGGACTCACTAGGAAGACCGGACCCTATGTGGGCTGCCTACGTATCCCGCCCCGAAAGATGAGAATCAGGTATGCGTATTTCGGGAAGATTGGACATGGGAGAAAGCTTTAAAAAAATACAACTAATTTGAAAAAACTATATATTTTTGTCTTTTTGAAAAAGGATGAAAAATGTAAAATATTTTTGGATTTTCTCTTTTTTTCCCTCTTGTTTTTGATTTTTGGAAAATTATGAAAGAAAAAAAAATGTGAGTGGGCCCTACTTGCTTTATATTTCACCCTCAAATATCATTGGTCCGCCAAATGACCCCTTTACCCTTAAAGAAATGCATCATGTAGCACATAGGGATGATTAAGTGTCTTTTTGGGCCATGAGCCCATTTTGACATAATTTGGATAGGCCTCCTACAACGGGATACGGTGCCTGGGACCGAGCCCTGCTAGGTTTAAATGATATGATGCAAATAAGCATGACCTAAAGACTGACCTACATTTGGGGTTCGCTAGACAAGGCAATTCAGGGCGGCACGTGGTCGCTGGTGGCTGCTCTAGCTGTCCGCCCACTCCACGCTCCCACGCCACCCCCTAAAGATACGGGTGACTCACAAAAAGGCCGTGTACGCTCAAACGTACTCCGGAAGACTTGTTGCAGAAAGAAGATCCGAGGTTATGCAAATGATGACAGTTATAAAGCAGTAAACACATAAAAGAAAATTATAAACAACTAGCAAATAATAACAAAGTATAAAAACATAATAAAAATCAGATAAAGCTAAAAAACATAAAAATCCTCAACCGAATAATCTAAAAAGCCAACAAGATCATAGTATCAGCTCGAACCTACAACTCCCCATCAGAGTCGCCAGAGCTATCACACCCCTTTTTTCTACCTCACTAACCCTCTTAAAAATATTAAAAAAAGAGTTTTGTAAAGCTCAAAAAGGGTTTTTAATTAAAAGTGACAAAGAATATATGTTTTAAAAGATTGCTCAGAGTCGCCACCTGACATTTGATTTCGATGTGTCAGGCCAACGTTTTTAGAAATCATTCTCCCTTTTAAAACACTTTGGACTCCAAAACTAAGTCCGCACCATAGATTCAAGGTAAGGGGGTTCATTTGACTCGGGGAGAAGGTGTTAGGCATTCCCCGAGTTCCGTGAAAGTCACGGTTGCATACTCGATCTAGTTGGCTTTTAAAATATTCAAATTGAGATAAAAATAAACACAGAAAAGAAAAATAAGCACACAAAAGGCTCGAGGTCGTCCCCACCTAATAAAAGAAAAATAAAAAATAAAAAAAATAAAAAATACTGCAAGTTCTACTTTCGGCCTCCAAATACAAATACTACGGGGCATACCCCGAATAAATATATACAAAATCTACGGGGCATTCCCCTGAATATAAACTAAAAGGGGACGACCTCTCACCTCGGATCAAACAAAAATCCTAAAGATTGCCTACCCAAATGTGGTCGGCCTAAGCATGCTCCTAGCGGACAATGTAGTAAAAGTAAAATAAACAAAACTAAAAGAAATAAAATTAATTTCATGCTTATTTTTTTTTTAACTTCTCATTTCATGCATTTGACCAAGCCCGATCCTAAAGCATGGAAACAAATTAATCACTAATGGGCTATGGCCTTTCCCATTCTCACGGCCCAGCAAACATTCATACACGTACTGTCCAAACAAAACAAACATTTAGATAGGAAAAACATGTAAAAATAGCACGGTATAGCCAGTTTTCGGACTGGTCAATCAAAAATAGCCAGCGTTTACCAAGTCAATGAAAAATAGCCACTATTTTGCTGCAAAAGAGACCGGTCCAACATAATATACTGGAGTTCGGTGCACTTGTGTATGAACTCCAGCATATTATGCTGGACCGGTATACTTTGCTGGCTCCAGTATAATATACTGGAGACTGGAGCACCGGTGCTCCAAACTCCAGTATATTATACTGGACCAATATACTTGCTGGAACTCCAGTATATTATGCAGGAGTTCTAGTGTACTTATGCTAGAACTCCATCATATTATGCTGGAGTTCCAGCATACTTATTCTGGAACTCCAGTATAATATGCTGGAGTTCAAGTATACTTATGCTGGAACTCCAGCATAATATACTGGAGTATTTTTCGGGTTTTGAGCAGTGTTTTCGCTCAGATTTATCTTTATATAAAAAGTGGCTAAATTTCGATTACTTTTGAAATTGGGCTATTTTTAAACGACCAGTTGTAAATCTGGCTATTTTTAAAATTTACCCGGAAAAACATCCAAATGATTTGAGAACTAAGGCAGAACACAATAACAGAAAAGTGGGTTAAGACATGCTAAGTGTGAGCACCTAATTTTTGCCCTACATGAAAATAACTCCTAAAAATAAACCAAAAATAAATTTTAAGGGATTTTAGAAGTTTTTCTTTATTTAGTTGCATTTCATGCATTTTTAATATTTTAAAATCATAGAAAAATTATAAAAAATTGTCACGTCTTAATTTCATGCCATCTTAGGTTCAATTTGCATGTAGGAATTAATTTTATTAAGAAAAATCACAAAAATAGTCATTTTTATATATTTAGCTTTTAGTCTTTAGAAAGCAGTATTTTTATTTAGTTTTAAGTTAATTAGTTGTTTTAATAGATAAACAATTTTAATTTTTGCAAATTAGATTGATTTAGGATTAATTTAGGATTTTATTAGATTTTAAAATCAAAGAAAAAGAAAATGGGAAAAAAGATTTTGATTTAGTCTTAATGTATTGGGCCAAAGTTAATTAGCCCAAATTCATGACCCAAATCCCTTCAAGCCCAAGGCCCAATACCCATTTCCCTTCCTAACCTAGACCTAGACCTAAAAAGATCAGACCATCAGACCCCTGGAAAACGACGCCCTTGGACCTTCTTCCTCATCCCTCATTTTCAGCAACGAAAACAGACCCCCCCCCCCACCGTTCTTCTTCATTTTCACAATCTAAGAACACCCCTGTTCTTCGACAACACCAACGACGCCTGAACCCCTAAGACCCAGCACTGTGACCACCAAAATAATGGACTCCCATCTTCTCTAAGACAGAGAGATCGATGAACCCCCATCTGAGAAACCAAAGACGCCATTCCTGGCTTCATCTTCCTCGTGTTGAGCAAAAATCAGACCTCATTCTTTCTCTTCTAAAAAGTCAGTCGATATACACACATAAATCCGCACTAATCTGGCTCAATTTGACACTGGCTAATAGCTGAAAAACTGAAGGAAACTTAGAATTCAAAAGAAGGTTTGAAGAAAAACTTATTCAAAGCTCAAACTTTTGTTCTTCCTGGATTTATACTAGCTGTAGAATCTCAGCGTTGTGATGTTGTTGCTGCTCCTGCCGAAACTATTCTGATGGCTTTCATCTTGACGATTCCACCCTTTGCTTGGTTTTCTTGAAATTTATTTCCGTTTTGCTGCTAGGTATGTCAAGACTTCTCTGTATTTACATTCAAATTAGGCGAATGAGATTCGAATTATCCAATATTGCTATCCATGTTTAGTTTCATGTGTTCATTGTTTGACTTGCTATATCTGGTCATTTGTCTTTTGAAGATTGAATGGGATTGTTTGCATTTGAGTTTTAAAATGGCAATTGGAATTATTCATTGTAGCTGATGTTAATGAGGTATATTGAGAATGGTGGGTAAGTTTTGTTTGTTGGTTGCATTAGAATTTGCAGACTAAATCTTTGTTGAAGTCTAAATGATCTATTTCGTTTTTTTTTTTTGTCAATAAGGCTGAATAAACACATCAGAAATGTATATCTTAGTGGTAAAACAACTTACTAATTTATTTGTTACAAGTGCAAAGTGTTGGAAGAAAGTAATTACCAAAATATGGAACTGTTAGTGAAATGACCAAAGTTGAAAACACCAGAATTGTTCTGATGAGGATCGATACACCATGAGTTCTAGGCTGAGGTGAAGGTAAGAATTCTTCAATGCCAAACGTAACTGGTGTAATCGTTGTGGCATATTTTGTCCCAGAGTTTTTTTTAGGTTGCACTTCACATGAACAAAAATGAGAAAAAGCATAGACTAAAGCTAATATTATACTTACCACTGTCCATGCTGCAACTTTTGAAGTAATTCATTGTGATTTAATTTGAACATCTCTGGTGACTTGATCATCACATTTAGTCCATAATCTTGAATTTCTCATGTAATCTTCAACTATTGGAAATAAATCACAAACATTCGTACAAATTCTTTTAGGCGCGACTTAGTCTATTATCGTGATTATGTATACGTTCGCGTAACATAATTTTGATTTTTCTAAAAAAATAAATCGAGGCATGCGTTCGCGCAACTTCGACCAAACTTTCTTAATATTAATAAAGCATGATTAATTGTGGACACGTACGCGTGGCATGATTCTTGACGCGCCAAAAAAATGAGTACACGTACGCGTGATTCCGTTTAAGATAATCTCCAAAATTACGAATAGTCAAGCAACTAAAAGTGGTTTAAAGGTAAAACGCACAAAGGTCTTAAAATGAGTAGTTAAACAATTTAAGCCAAGTATAAATTGCTAAGCGACCGTGCTAGAACCACGGAACCCGGGAATGCCTAACACCTTCTCCCGGGTTAAAAGAATTCCTAATCTAGAATTTTTGGTTCGCAGACTTTTAAATAAAGTCGAAATTTCCTCGATTTGGGATTTAAAGTAAACCGGTGACTTGGAACACCATATTAAATTGTTCCAAGTGGCGACTCTGAAAAATAAATAAAATAATTCCATCTCGAATAATGTCACTTTAATTGGAAAAACTCCCTTATATACCCCCTCGGGTGGTAAAAAGGAGGTGTGACAGCTCTGGCGACTCTGCTGGGGATAAGAACCCAGAATCTCTGGTTCAGGGTTCAAGAATTCGAGCTTGTTAATGCGATTTTTACTTGGCTTTATTTATTGTTGATATTACTGTATTTTGTGGGCCTAATGCGCTAATTGCCATTTATTTACCGCTTTGATATTATTTGAACTGTATTAAAACTGTCTCCTTACGCCTCCTTTCTGAGTCTTCTAAAAAATGGTGCACACGTTCGTGTGGCCCACTTTTTCGGTTAGAAGTTATAACAAATAGAACGAGGTTGGGCCAGCAACAAGGCTGGGTAGACTTTCGTTCTCTCGGTACGTTGCCCCCTCTTCGGCTCGAGTTGTTCGCTCGGGTAAGCCAGGTCTAGAACACAACCCCAGGTTTAAACTTAGAATAACGTAACCTTATGCCGGATCCCTAGTAGGAACGCTTGTTTGCATCACGTGCATTTGACTTTGGGGACTCAACACATGGGTTGGGTCCGTCTAGGACAGGTGTACCCAAATTAAAAAGACCATCCTGATGCATCTTACGTGCTACTTGCGCATTTGTTTGTTTTGGCTTGCATGTTGACCGGCTTCTAGAATAGGGAAAGAAAATCAAAAAAAAAAAAAATACAAAAACAAGAGTGAGAGGTAGGTATTTGAAAAATTCCGAAACACTGCCGAAATTCTGAAAAAAAAAGAAAAAAGAAAAAGACAAGGTCATTTCAAAATGAGCCCAAAATCTTCAAGTGTCATGTTTCCTTGTTCCGTCAAAACTGACCGAACTACGCGGGTCTGATTCTCACCGGATGTGAGATACGTAGGCAAACCTCATCGGTTCCGACCCCAATTTTCAAAAATCCAAAAATATTTTCCTTTAGTTTCTTCTTTAGAAATCTTTCCTTAGAAAATTCAAAAAAAAGAATTTTTTTTAAAATCAAAAATGATTTCCTTCTTTCTAAAGTCTTTCATACGAAAAAAAGAAATAAAAAGAAAAATCAATAAAAAATCAAAATCTAAAATACGGGTTTCCTTTATTTTGAAGTATTTTTCCCAAAAAATCAAAAAAAAAATCAAAAAAAGGAATTAAAAAAAAAAGAAAAATCATTTCCTTGTTTAAAAAGTCTTTCTCTCTCTACCTTCACCCGTGCTCCCGGCGCATGTTAGCTAAACATACGCCGGTGTGGATATGGCAGGGGCGAGAGGTCGGGGACCAGGAAGGGGACGCGGACGACCTAGGAAAATACCTATTGTAGCTTTTGGGAGCTCAGTTGGAGCTCGGATTCAAGGGGAAGTAACACCAAAAAATACACCAATGGCATCTCCTGTGCAGCTAGTTGAAGGAATTAGATCTGTTGAACAAGGATCTACTTCAAATACTAAGGAGATACCAAAGGATCTAGAGATGAAGGACACTATGGAGGCAAATACAAAGGGCAAAATGCAGAAGGAAATAGAGACAGCTCAAAGCAATGGAACAGTGACTGAGAAGCAGACTAATGTAACAGTGAATTCAACACAAAAGCCAGTGGATCGAGTAGCTGAAGCAGTTAATCCGATAAGAACATGGACAAACCTGATCAAAGGCAACAGATCTGCAACTAATGGTATGGCTCTAACATATATTCCACCACAAATCGTAGATGGGCAAATGGTGGTACAATTGGAAGCAGAGGAAGTAGAACCAGAAGAAGAAAGTGGAAATGTGCTTTAATCGCATATGTTATTGGAGAAACACCTGGGTATAATGTTATGAACAGGTATATTAGCCAAAATTGGATAAATATAGATACTCCAGAAGTATATTTCCATGATGAGGGGTACTATGTGATTCGATTTAATTCCATTACTGACATGCATGCTTGTAACGACCCGATCCTTCATTCTGAGAGTTATAGTCACATTTCCCCCATCTATACTTATTTATATGTTATTCAGCTGTGTTGAGTTGTATCGAGTTGGTAGGTTTGGGTTCGGAGTAGTTTTGGAGTGAAATGAACACTTAGTCTCTTAATTAGAAAGCTAAGTTAGAAAAGTCAACCGGAAGTTGACTTATGAGTAAGAAAATTCGGATTTGGATTTTTATGATTCAATTAGCTTCGTTGGGTGATTTTAGACTTAGGAGTGTGTTCGGAATATAATTTGGAGGTCCGTGGTAGAATTAGGCTTGAATTGGCAAAAGTTGGAAGTTTAGAAGTTCTTAGGCTTGAATTCGAGGTTGATTTGGTATTTTGGTGTGGTTTTGGGTGTTTCGGAGGTTTGACTAAGTTCGGGTAGTGATATATGACTTGTTGGAATTATTGGTTGAGGTCGCGAGGGCCTCGGGTGAGTTTTGAATATGTTTGGGTTGTGTTGCGCTCGTTTTTCTTATGTTTCGACGCCGTTTCTTCAAGCATAAATGATATCATATTGAAGAAATGAGCTCCGGTTTCTTTTTTGATTAAAACATTAGATCCGTATTGTAATTACGGACTGTAGCAAAAAGAATCATCGAATTTGGACATCGTATGAGGATTTTATTGTCATTTTACTAAGAATTAGGTTGCTAGATTTTTCAGATTAATTACGAAATTGCCACTGACAACGTAATTAAAAATCTGCACTATTTGCAAATATTAAAACCTGCATATCTCCTTCGTTATAAGGTCAAATTGAGTGATTCAAAAGCCTAACTTGACTAGAATTTCACAAGGAATCCATTGGAGGCATAAAATACCAGTTTCGGGATCGTTTGGCACGAGAAACGAGGCAGAATAGCTGGTAGAAAAATATACAAAACAAGGGTTTGTTCATTCGGTCATATTTTGAGTTGGGGAGCTCGGATTTGGGCGATTTTGGAGGCGATTTTCATCATATGGATTGGGGTAAGTGTTCTCTACTCGGTTTTTGTTATATTTCATGAATCCATCTTCGTTTTTGGGATTTGATTGATGATTTCAAAGTGAAATTGAGGGAGTTAGGGTTTGAGTTTTGGAGAGTTTTAAGAGAGGATTTGAGGGACCAAACGGAGTCCGATTTTTACAAATTTTATATGGTTAGACTCGGGATAGGACGAGGATTATTATTCTTCTATTTTTAACTGATTCCGAGACGTGGGCCCGGGGGCCGGGTTTTGGCCGATTTCGGACTTTTGGCATGTTTATGTAGTTTTTATTGTGTAATTCGATTCTTTAGACTATGTTGATAGTAGTATTTTGATCATGGTTAGATTTGAAGCTTTTGGAGACCGAGTCAAGGGACGAGGACATCCCGGAGTAGAATTTTACGCTGTTGAGGTAAGTAACAGTTTTAACTCTGGCTTTGAGGGTATAAACCCGGAGAGTTTGATATCATGTGATTGTTTGGTGGTAATACCCACGCTAGGTGACGGGCGTGTGGGTGTGCACCGCGAGGGATTGAGACTTGATCCGTCCCGTGAGGCTAGGCCTAAAAGCTATAATCTGTGGTTATGTGTTTACTTGTTGTTGAACTTGTTTGCCTTCATGTTAGAGATCCTGTTTAGGTTTTATTCATGCTCACATTATTTGTACTCAGTCATAGAAATTATTGTACATGTTTACCTCAGTCTCCATTATTTGCTAATATGCTGTGATACTTGATGTGGGTTGTGTTCCCTTATTTGTTGATGATGGTGAGGCTAGTGAGGTACATGACTGAGTGAGGCCGAGGGCCTGGTTGTGAGGATATTAATACCATAGCGCGTGAGTTGTCCGCGTAGCACGTGAGTTGACCGTGCGGGTCCAGGTATTGATACCATAGCGCGTGAGTTGTCCGCGTAGCACGTGAGTTGACCGTGCGGATCCAGGTATTGATATGGTAGCACGTGAGTTGTCCGTGCTTAGCGCTTGGGCTTTGGGAGCCCCTCCGGAGTCTGTACACACCCCCAGTGAGCGCAGAGTGTTGAGTGTATTGAGTGTTGAGTGTTGAGTGCTGAGTGCGAGTGCTGAGTGATGGAGTGACATTGTTGTGAGGTTGCATTTACTTTTGCTGTTGCTGCATTTATCTGTTAAATTTCTTTGTGGCATTTATTGAGTTATGAAATTTACTTGTTTATTCCTGCTATTATTTTTAAAATTGTGGAAAATAAATAATTGGACTCTTTTACTTAGCTCGTCACTACTGCTCAGTTCCTTAGTTATTTCTGTTACTACTGAGGTGGTTGTACTCATACTACACCCTGCACTTTATGTGCAGATCCAGGTGAGTTAGAGCGCGGCGATCGTTGAGTTCAGGCCGGCTTTAATTGGAGACTGCAAGGTAGCTGCCAGCGTCCGCAGGACCTTGTTACTCCTTTTATCATTTCTTCTTTGGACAGTTAGACAGTTTATATATCTCAGTTCATAGTTTTAGACGCTCATGACTTAGTGACACCCCGATGTTTGGGACTCGTTTCCGTATTTTATATTATTTATATTTAGAGTTGGTTTAGTTTATCAGGAATTAAATTATTGGAAATATTTTATTAAATTCTTATAATCAAATTAGTAGTAATATTTTGGGAATAGGCTTGCCTTGTAACACGATAGGCGCCATCACGACCATGGTTAGATTTTGGGTCGTGACAAGTTGGTATCAGAGCCTAGGTTACATAGGTCTCACGAGTCATGAGCGGGTTTAGTAGAGTCTTGCGGATCGGTACGGAGACGTCTGTACTTATCTTCGAGAGGCTGCAGAACCTTTAGGAAAACTTCACCTTCTTGAATTCTTATCGTGCGGTATTGATTCAGCTTGAAGTGTAACTCTTTGAATTCCTTCCACGCATTCGTATGCGCACATGAGCGCTCGGTATCAGTTGTGCATCGACGGATTATGATTCCCTGGATGAGGTGCGAGATGTGATTTCTGTGTGTTGATGTTGGGCCAGTCTGGGGTACTTGAGGCCGGGTTTTGTCTGTAGCTGGAGTACGAAAATTTCGATTGTGTGAGCACGTGTTTATATGTCCGTTGGTGTCCCTATTAGTGGGATTTGTGATTTGATGGCTATGTGGAGAGTATGATTTGACTGCGAGATTGTGTTCGGATTGATCGAATGTGACGAGAAGGGTTTACTTGAGATGTAGCAAGGACTAATGGGTGTTTGATTTGTGACTTGATATAGCTTGTTCAGACTCTGTCTGATAAGAGGTTTATTACCAGCCTTTGGTTCTTTTGGGCAGCTGCTATGATTAGAAATCATCGTTGTGAGTGTTTGAATTATGTGGTATATCATGTGATTTCAGGTATGTTTTAGACTCGTTCGAGGACGAACGTTTGTTTAAGAGGGGGAGGATGTAACGACCCGATCGTTCGTTCTGAGAGTTATAGCCACATTTCCCCCATCTATGCTTATTTATATGTTGTTCAGCTGTGTTGAGTTGTATCGAGTTGGTAGGTTTGGGTTCGGAGTAGTTTTGGAGTGAAATGAACACTTAGTCTCTTAATTAGAAAGCTAAGTTAGAAAAGTCAACCGGAAGTTGACTTATGAGTAAAAGAATTCGGATTTGGATTTTTATGATTCGATTAGCTTCGTTGGGTGATTTTAGACTTAGGAGTGTGTCCGGAATATAATTTGGAGGTCCGTGGTAGAATTAGGCTTGAATTGGCAAAAGTTGGAAGTTTAGAAGTTCTTAGGCTTGAATTCGAGGTTGATTTGGTATTTTGGTGTTGTTTTGGGTGTTTCGGAGGTTTGACTAAGTTCGGGTAGTGATATATGACTTGTTGGAATTGTTGGTTGAGGTCCCGAGGGCCTCGGATGAGTTTTGAATAGGTTTGGGTTGTGTTGCGCTCGTTTTTCTTATGTTTCGACGCCGTTTCTTCAAGCATAAATGATATCATATTGAACAAATGAGCTCCGATTTCTTTTTTGATTGAAGCATTAGATCCGTATTGTAATTACGGACCTGTAGCAAAAAGAATCATCGAATTTGGACATCGTATGAGGATTTTATGGTCATTTTACTAAGAATTAGGTTGCCAGATTTTTCAGATTAATTACGAAATTGCCACTGACGGCGTATTTAAAAATCTGCACTATTTGCAAATATTAAAACCTACATATCTCCTTCGTTATAAGGTCAAATTGAGTGATTCAAAAGCCTAACTTGACTAGAATTTCACAAGGAATCCATTGGAGGCATAAAATACGAGTTTCGGGATCGTTTGGCTCGAGAAACGAGGCAGAATAGCTGGTAGAAAAATATACAAAACTAGGGTTTGTTCATTCGGTCATATTTTGAGTTGGGGAGCTCGGATTTGGGCGATTTTGGAGGCGATTTTCACCATATGGATTGGGGTAAGTGTTCTCTACTCGATTTTGATTATAATTTATGAATCCATCTTCGTTTTTGGGATTTGATTGATGATTTCAAAGTGAAATTGAGGGAGTTAGGGTTTGAGTTTTGGAGAGTTTTAAGTGAGGATTTGAGGGACCAAACGGAGTCCGATTTTGACAAATTTTATATGGTTAGACTCGGGAGAGGACGAGGATTATTATTCTGCCATTTTTGACTGATTCCGAGATGTGGGCCCGGGGGCCGAGTTTTGGCCGATTTCGGATTTTTGGCATGTTTATGTAGTTTTTATTGTGTAATTCGATTCTTTAGACTATGTTGATAGTAGTATTCTGATTATGGTTAGATTTGAAGCTTTTGGAGACCGAGTCGAGGGACGAGGACATCCCGGAGTAGAATTTTACGCTGTTGAGGTAAGTAACAGTTTTAACTCTGGCTTTGAGGATATAAACCCGGAGAAATTGATATCATGTGATTGTTTGGTGGTGATACCCACGCTAGGTGACTGGCGTGTGGGTGTGCACCGCGAGGGATTGAGACTTGGTCCGTCCCGTGAGGCCAGGCCTAAAAGCTATTATTTGTGGTTATGTGTTTACTTGTTGTTGAACTTGTTTGCCTTCATGTTAGAGATCCTGTTTAGGTTTTATTCATGCTCCCATTATTTGTACTAAGTCATAGAAATTATTGTACATGTTTACCTCCGCCTCTATTATTTGATAATATACTGTGATACTTGATGTGGGCTGTGTCCCCTTATTTGTTGATGATGGTGAGGCTAGTGAGGTACATGATTGAGTGAGGCCGATGGCCTGGTTGTGAGGATATTAATACCATAGCGCGTGAGTTGTCCGCTTGCCACGTGAGTTGACCGTGCGGGTCCAGGTATTGATACCACAGCGCGTGAGTTGTCCGCGTAGCACGTGAGTTGACCGTGCGGATCCAGGTATTGATATGGTAGCACGTGAGTTGTCCGTGCTTAGCGCTTGGGCTTTGGGAGCCCCTCCGGAGTCTGTACACACCCCTAGTGAGCGCAGAGTGTTGAGTGTATTGAGTGTTGAGTGTTGAGTGTTGAGTGCTGAGTGCGAGTGCTGAGTGATGGAGTGACATTGTTGTGAGGTTGCATTTACTTTTTCTGTTGCTGCATTTATCTGTTAAATTTCTTTGTGGCATTTACTGAGTTATGGAATTTACCTGTTTATTCCTGTTATTTTTAAAATTGTGAAAAATAAATAATTGGATTGTTTTGCTCAGCTCGTCACTACTGTTCAGTTCCTTAGTTATTTCTGTTACTACTGAGGTGGTTGTACTCGTACTACACACTGCACTTTATGTGCAGATCCAGGTGAGTTAGAGCGCGGCGATCGTTGTGTTCAGGCCGGCTTTAATTGGAGACTGCAAGGTAGCTGCCAGCGTCCGCAGGACCTTGTTACTCCTTTTGTCATTTCTTATTTTGGACAGTTAGACAGTTTATATAACTTAGTTCATAGTTTTAGACGCTCATGACTTAGTGACACCCCGATATTTGGGACTCGTTTCCGTATTTTATATTATTTATATTTAGAGTTAGTTTAGTTTATCAGGAATTAAATTATTGGAAATGTTTTATTAAATTCTTATAATCAAATTAGTAGTAATATTTTGGGAATAGGCTTGCCTTGTAACACGATAGGCACCATCACGACCATGGTTAGATTTTGGGTCGTGACAATGCTGTATACTATAATGGGCCATATACTATCAGCAATCGACCTATAATTTTGAAGCAATGGACAGCAGATTTTGATTTCAGCAGAGAATTCCCTACTGAGATACCATTGTGGGTGAAATTCCCTAATTTACCTATGAATTGCTGGGGTAGTAAGTCTCTGATAGAATTGCCAGTGTATTGGGGACTCCTCTGTTTGCTGATGAATGTTTCCACAAAACAATCCAGGATTTCTTATGCTAGAATGCTTGTGGAAATAAATGTTAGTCAACCACTACCTGATGAAATTACAGTGATTGACCCAAAGGGGAAATACTTTCAGCAGCAGGTGACATATGACTGGAGGCCAGAATTTTGTGGAACCTGTCAAGTAGTGGGACACAAATGTAGAGAAAAGGAAGTGGATGAAGGCCAAAGGGATATTCAACATAGAAGGAAGAAGAACAAAACTGTCACACAGGAATGGAGATACAAAGGCCCTATACAGCATACATTACCAGTTGAAAAACCAATGGAGCAAGCAAAGGAGAATAAACAACAGATACAGCAAGTGAATGAGGAGATGAGTTTCATTCCTGGAGATAGAACAGAAGAGCAACCAGAAAAGAACAAAGGGAAAGCTGTTAAAAGTCCTGATTTCAATCTCAAAAACTTCCCCATATTGTGTTCTGTTCCTACCAAAAATGGTTTTGGAGTACTACATTGAGGAGATAGTAAAGAACAAGACCTGCCTCTAGATAGAGGAGGGGGAACTAAAACAGCATGATGAATTGGCTAATATGGAATGCTAGGGGAATAAATAAGAGGTATAAGCAAAAGGTACTGAGAAATTATTTAAAAACAAAAAAGAATTAGATTAGCTGGGCTCATAGAAACAAGAGTTAAAGAACACAATTCAAAGAAGATCAGGGGAAAACTTGATCCAACATGGAAGGTATATGACAATTACCAGGCTGCTATTAATGGAAGAATATGGTTGGTTTGGGATTCACAATGGTGTGAAGTGAACATGGTGAGAGCTGAAGCACAAATTTTACATTGTGAAATTACAAGCAAGATAGGAGACATCAATTGCTTTCTTACTATTGTATATGGCTTCAATACCATAGAACACAGGAGATCACTATGGGAACATCTGAAAGAAGTGGCTGTAGGCATTAACAAACCATGGCTTGTTGCTGGAGATTTCAATGCAGTGCTGAACCAAGATGATAGACTGTTTGGTAACCCAATCACTTATAAAGAAATTCAAGAATACCCTGAGTGCATACATGAACTGCTATTAGCAGAAGTTCAGTGGAGTGGGGACTATTACACATGGTCTAATAAACAGCTGAATACAGAAAGAATATATAGTAGATTAGACAGGGCTTTTGAAAATCATGAATGGATGATGAATTGGGGACATGTGATAATGCAGTATGATGATCCCTACATTTCAGATCATGCACCTATGTTACTACCAATGGCAGCTGCTAGATATAACACTAAAGTTTCTTTCAAGTTCTTCAATGTATGGGCTGAGCACAAAGACTTCATGAAGATAGTAGAAGACATATGGCAGAACACATGTTCCACAAGCAGTATGGAAAATATTTGGAAGAAATTGAAGAATCTTAGACCAGTCCTGAAGAAGCTAAACAATGAGGAGTTCAAGTTTATCAGACAGAAAATAGAGAAGTCAAGGCAAGATTTAAAGAGCACTCAGGAACAAATGCAGTTAAGGAACAACATAGATTTACTTGCAGAAGAAAGAAAGCTGTTACAGGAGCTGGAGAAATGGTCATTGATAGAAGAGAGTGCTTTACAACAAAAAGCTAAAGCTAAATGGATCAAGCTTGGAGACTCAAACAATAAGTATTTTTCAGCGTTGATCAAAGAAAGGACACACAGGAAACAAATTACTGAACTAACATCTCTTGATAACAGGAAGCTAGAGGATCCAGAGGAAATCAGAGAAGAGATAATCAAGTTCTACAAGAGCTTGATGGGTTCGACAGCTCATATTCTGCCAGCAGTTAACAAACAAACAATGAGAAAAGGGCCAGTCATTACTCAACAACAAAGGATTAGCTTATGTGCAGAAATTACAGAAAAGGAGATATATGATGGACTGTCTTCAATAGGAAATGATAAATCCCCTGGAGTTGATGGATACAATGCCTATTTTTTCAAAAAAGTATGGCCTCTTGTGAAGGAAGAAGTTATTGATGCTGTCAAAGAGTTTTTTAAAACTGGGAAATTATATAGGGCAATCAACTGTACTGCTATCACACTAGTTCCAAAAACTGCCAAGCCAAACACTATGAAGGAGTATAGACCTATTGCATGTTGTACTGTGTTATACAAAATGATTGCCAAGATTCTTGCCTCCAGAATGCAGGAAGTGATGCCAGACATTATAAGTGAAGCTCAGGCTGGTTTTATTCCAGGGAGGAAAATAGCTGACAACATATTCCTTGCCCATGAGTTAGTTAAAGACTATACAAGGAAGAATTTATCAGCTAGGTACATGATAAAAATTGATCTACAAAAAGCATATGACTCTGTTGAATGGACCTTTGTGAGACAGATGCTAATATGAGCTTGGTTTTCCTGACCAATTTGTTTTGTGGATAATGGAATGTGTACAAAATGTGAACTATACTGTGTTGATCAATGGAGAGCAAAGTAAGCCCTTTAATACAGCTAGGGGGCTTAGATAAGGAGATCCAATATCTCCCTTCCTATTTGCAATAGCTATGGAGTACTTGAGTAGGCTGCTCAATGAATTGAAAGATGATAAGAGATATCAATTTCATCCAAAATGTGCAAAACTAGGTGTAACACACTTAAGTTTTGCAGATATCTACTTCTGTTTGCCAAAGGAAATTTGTCCTCTATCTCTGCACTTTATGACTGTTTCAGAACCTTCTCTACAACCTCAGGACTGCAAGCTAATCTTGGGAAGAGCTGTGTGTATTTTGGAGGAGTTAAGAAGGAAGAACAGGAAAATATCCTAAAACACTTGGGTTTTGTCCCTGGGAGCCTGCCTTTTAAATACTTGGGAGTGCCTCTATCTACAAAGAAGATTTCTCTGGTATAGTGGCAGCCTTTGATAGAGAAAATAACAGCCAGAATCACCTCTTGGACAGCAAAGAAACTATCATATGCAGTGAGAACACAATTAGTGAAATCAATTTTGTTTGGTATGCAAGCATATTGGGCCCAGCTATTCCCTATCCCTGCTAAGGTATTGAAGATTATAGATGGCTATTGCAGAAGTTATGTGTGGTCAGGCAGCAATTCAATTACTAAGAAAGCTTTGATAGCATGGGATAGAGTATGTATGCTTAAGTCTATGGGTGGAATAGGCCTCATCAACATAAAGCTATGGAACAAAGCAACTCAAATCAAGACATGCTGGGATATTGCTCATAAACAAGACAAGTTGTGGATTAGATGGATCCACACTTATTACGTTAAAGGAAAGCCACTACTGGAAGCAAGAGTTCCAACACAAGCAAGCTAGATTACTAGAAAGATATTGGAATTGAAAAATGAATTGCATTTGATCCCTGTAAATCAGACCACAAGGAGTTTGACAAATGCTATCTACTACAAACTGCTCCCTGAAATGAGGCTAGTAGCCTGGAAATGCCTTATGTTCAAGAATGATGCAAGGCCAAAAGCAAGCTTTATAATGTGGTTAGTATTACAGGGGAGATTGGCAACAGCAGATAGACTAATGAGATGGGGTATAATAGTAGACAGTACTTGCTCTTTATGCCAAGCAGAACTGGAAACTAGAGAGCATTTGTTTGTGGAATGTGACTATGCTAAAGCTATATGGAAGAGACTGCAGAAATGGTTGCAATGGCAGCAAGCACCAGATGAATGGGACCAGCATGTTAACTGGGCTATCAAAAGTGCTAAAGGGAAATCACAACAAGCTCAAATATTCAAATTGGTATATGCAGAGTGTGTCTATGCTATATGGATAGAAAGGAACAATAGAGTAGGTTTGAAAAGAAGGCTAGAAGATGGGAAGAAATTGCAAGAGAAATTGTCTATACTTGTCATGTTAGAGCTGGCAGTAGAGTCCAAGAACTACTGCAAAACTTTACATTCTAGATGTTAAGAAGCTTAGTTAGATGAGATCTTCTTGTATATAGTAATAGTGAGGAATATAGATAGAGTTTTATTTCTTTTGAGATAGCTAACTGTGCTGTGGTTAGCTATGGCTTTGTAAAGTTTCAAAAGTGATTAATACAAAAGTTAGTTAACCTAAAAAAAAAAAGTCTTTCTTTCGTAAATGTCAAAAAGAAATTTTTAAAGAATTAAAGTCCAAAAATATTTTCGTTTTTCTTTAGAAGTACTTTCGTAATATAAAAACTCAGAAACCCAAAGTATTTTTTTTAAAAGCCCCTTTTTTCAAAAATTAAGAGGCAACATTCAAAATCCAAAAATATTTTCTTTTTTGTTTAGAAAAAGAGAAAACAAATGAAATTTCAAAATAAATTATTCTTTTTACTTTTGAAATTCCCAAAGTTCAAATCAAAAGAAAAGAAATTTTTAGAAGTCTCTCTTTCAAAAATAAATATAAAAAAAATCAATCAAAATCAAAAATTCAAAAAAATATTTCCTTTCTTCTTTTAAAGCATTTTTTCCAAAAATTTCAAAAGAATTAACAAAAATCAAAAATCAAAAATCAAAAAATATTTTTCTTTGGTCTTAAAGCTTTCTTGGTTTGAGTTTTATAAAAAATAAAAAAAATGAGCTAGCTTATTTACTACATTCTCGATCTTCCCGAACAACACAAGATCTGATTCAGGCGGCATCGTGATACATAGGCAATCCCCATCGGATTCGATCATAGCCATAAATAAATTGAGTGAAAAATAAACTAAAAAAAAAGGTTGAGTAGAAAAGAAAGAAAAGAGTGAAAAAAAAACGGAAAGAAAAGAAAAAAAAAGAGTGACAAGAAAATAAAAGAGTGACAAAAACAAAACCAAAAAAGAAAAGAAAAGAGAGTGCCAAAATATAAAGAGCGATAGAAATGAAATGAAAAAAAATCAAGAGTGATTAAAAAGAAGCAGCAACAAAAGAAAAGAGATATTGAGTGAAAAAGGATTAGTTTAAGGCCGGGATGACACATGCAACCGTTCAAACACATGGTAGAAACGCTTAACTGTTTAGGTGCATTGCATCCAAACGTGCGATTTCCTATCTGTTAAGCATCTCAAAACTAACAAGGTTGTTGGGTGTGCAAATTAGCCAGGTTCTGTTCAGGTGGTTGGTTTTGTTGGTAGTCTAGCCTCTCCTCCTTCACAAGATCCAAAAGCACAGATGGCCTCCGCAAGCAATCTACCAATCATCGGTCCTGAGGATAGCCCGGCATCGGCTATTCTGCAGCTAGAATCAGCAGCTGCTGAAGAGGATAAGATGTTGCATCTCCGCATATTGGAAATGTGGGATGCCTGGTCTAATGGTAGGGAACCGCCAAGTGCAATCCCTGGGTTCCCTGAGTTGATCCCCAGGTCAGGTGAGGTTACCCACGCCCTTGTGCCCAACCCGCTCATCCCATGCGGGCACCCTCCAATGCCGTTCAATGATCCTGGCATGCCTTCTGTGGTTCGCCCCCAGGCGCCAGTTTCCTGGGCACCTCCAATATTGCTCTCTACAGCACATTCTGCACCAAAGCACAACCAACTTTACCACGACCGTATGTTGAGCCCCCAATGGTCACCTTTCAGGGTCCACAGCTTCAATCAGAAATAGCATATGTGACCCCATACTCTTTCACTCCACCTCCGCAATATGATCTCTCGGTGGAGCAAGAAAAGGTGATTAAAAATCCCGAGCAAGAGGAAATGGCTTGGAAGATGAAGAGCCTGGAACAAATCCTGAAAAACATGCAAGGTCTGAGTGGCCAAAAGAGTGTCTCATACTCTGACCTCTGTATGTTTACCCATGTCCACTTTCCAGCTGGCTTCAAGATGCCAAAATTTGAAAAGTACGACGGGCATTGTTGCTCCCAAACGCACACGCAAGTATACGCGGTCGTCAAGTAATAAAGTGACTAAAAGTTGGATGTCGATCCCACGAGGACTTGTGATTAACCATTAACTAAATTAGACTATCCTGATTATCTAAACAAGAATTAAACCTAGAAATATTTGGTTCTAAACTAACTAAAATAAAGAAAATAAATAATGAACTCTAAACAGAGGAAGAGCAGATTTTTATGATATCAATGTAATGAAAACGATCTAGGGTTATGGGCTATCTAACATTCCTATTATATTCTTCAATTGAATTGTCTTTTATGTGATGAAGTGATGACCGATTAGTGGTTCCGGAGTTATGATAAGGATCATGTTTTATTGTACATTGGCATGTCGGGTGCAGTGAGTAGTATGGAATTTGAAGTGAGAATCAAGGTTGCAGTTCGGTGTGGACAAGGATGTCACCAGCTCGGATGAGCAGGAAAGGGGTTTTGATGTTTAAAGTAAGTTGGTATTGTCTTCAGTGTCATCTGAGATCGGTGTTTTGTAAAAAGGGCTTGTATCATGGTTAATGATTCTTGATCGCTTTTCAGCGTTAGTGCGGTCGGTGGTTTGGAGGTAAGACCCAGTTATTTGTTATGGTAGGTTGTGGCAGTGTGTCCCACAGGAAGATTGTATAAATGTGCCACGTAGTCACTTGATTGATCAAAGATTTAAACCAAGTATGAAGATTTGTGATGATATCGTTAAATCGAGAATATATGCCTGGAGGGCACTCAGTTACTGAGTTGTGGACTGTGGATGAGTACTCTGGTTATGACGGGTGTTCTTGTGTGTTATGAGAAAAGGGAAATTAGTATGGACCTTTGAAGGGTTATTGGCTTAGTTTGATACGATCAGGATCGACTTAAGGTCAGTGGATGGATCTAAATGTGGATATGGGCTCTATGTCAGGCCAATTGTGTTCATTTCAGTAAAGCCCTCCTTATGGAAGAATAGTCGGGGTGTTATGTGGTCGTTAGCTATTCCGTGTAATGATGTATTGCGTCGTGCGAGTTGTGAGACGGCTTGGTGAATTGCTTATGTGATGAGGATCCGCGTAGAAATGATGTTATATGAGCAAATGGCTCTTGAGATTCAGATTGTGTATCGCACCTCAGTTGTGCTTGAACTTTGTAGCTCATAGCGCTATGTGTCCCCTCAGGGATGGTGTTATGCACTTAGTGTGCTTGTGACCGAAGTTTGATATTTCATTGTAATGAGCAAATTTAGCTCGATGTGCATCTCCTTATGTGAGATCTATGTGTGGGTCGGGTGGCACGCCGCCAGGGGTATGTTATTTGGATCGGGTTGCGCGCCGCAACAATGTGATGTTGAGTATAGTTTTCTATATGCAATTTTTGTATGTCTCGCTTCCTATTTTCTAAGGAAAGTTCGTATTAGTGCGGGAGTTAGGTAATTCCTTCCAGAGTTCGTTTTTCTTTGTATCGCGTTCGAATTGGTGGCCTATTGGCACGTTATTGCATCATATGAGACTTTTGACTATGTTCGGGGTGGCTTATTGCCTGAGCGGTTCGTACTGGGTGAGATGGAATCGTTGGATTCAGGACCAGTGCAATCTGACTATATGGAATATATTAAGGAGCAAAGATCACGATTTGGTTCAGAATATGGTAATGTTTCTTGTCAGAAGTATAGACTCAATGATGGGTTGACTCGGCAGTTGATTATGAATTTCTACACATCTCTTCCGTTGTGGCGGCATTATAAGAGTTAGAGTAAGACCTGTGTATGTCATGGGGTGCAATGGGAGCATCAGATTCGTGGAATTTCGACTAAGTTGATCAAAAAGTGTTATTGTGGTCCGGTGAGTAAAGTGATGCTAGGTGTGAATTCAGCAAAGTTATGCAGCCATGTTTGGGTACAGCGTGTAGGGATTGATGTGATGATCTTAGTTGGAAACTAGGTTNCTAATTGGTAGCCTATTGGCATATGGTAGCATTATACGAGACTTTTGATAATGTCTGGGGTGGCTTATTGGCTGAACAGTTGAATCGGACGAGACGAGATCCCTTGTTTTAGGGTCAGTGCTAAACCGACTATATGAAGTATATTATGGAAATAAGACCATTATTTGGTTCAGAATGAGGTGATGGTTTTGTCAGGGGCATAGCTCTAATGATTTGTTGACTCGGCAGTTGATTATGAATTTCTGCACATCTCTTCCGTTGTGGCGGCATTGTAAGAGTTAGAGTGAGACTTGTGTATGTCATGGGGTGCAATGGGAGCATCAGATTCGTGGAATTTCGACTAAGTTGATCAGGAAGTGTTATTGTGGTCCGGTGAGTAAAGTGATGCTAGGTATGAATTCTGCAAAGTTATGCAGCTGTGTTTGAGTACAGCGTGTGGTGATTAATACGGTGACCTTATGGTGGAAACAGGTCGGGCATGAAATTCCGGACGTTGGAATTGGGCTTTAAGGCGTATCTGCGTGAATAAAAGGGAATATCTTCAGAATGGATCGAGCTAATGTGCTCAACTGAGCTGTGGTAGCACGGGAAGGTGCATGAGAAGTTAAACAGCGATTTCAGACCACTCCAGTGCAGTTCTCAGCACGTTCGAGGACGAACATATGTTTAAGTGGGAGAGAATGTAAAGACCCGACCGGTCGTTTTGAGCCCTAGCGCGTCGTTCAGCAGTCTGAGGCCCTGAGCAGCTTCAATTTAGGTACTACGACTTATACGCGCGGTCGGAATTGAGTTTCGGAAAATCCGGAGTTGATTTGGGAAGAGAATTCTAATTCTAGGAGCCTAAAGTTGAAAGAATGAACAATTGAGCATATATTAATGGATTTGCGTAACCATTGGCTAGTTTTGGAGCGTGGTGCATCAATTAGAGTCTTCGGAAGCGCGTGGAATGCCAGTTATGGATCTTCGGAGAGAGGTGAGTCTCCTTTCTAACCTTGTAAGAGGGAATTGTCCCCATAGATTATTAAATAATTGATTATGTGCTCCTAATTGCGGGGGCTACGTACGCACGAGGAGACGAGAGTCCGTGTGTAGCTACTATTATGCTATTGTCCTGGTAGCTAGGACCCAAAAGCATGTTATGCTTGGATTAATTGTAAACCCAA